ACTATGAAAAATAAATCAATTTTGCTTTCGAAAATATCATTTCATTTATAGTTTTGATAATCAGCTGAATGGATTCAAAATTCAAGTGTCTATAAAAAGTTTCATAAGATTATTTAAAAATCTGTCATAAACATATTTAAAACTAAGCGCTTTTTTCTTCTTTTTTATAAAAAAAAGAGTTGTGGAGTTCTGGCTTTCCATCAATGTATACCATAACATTCCTAATTGTAAGCCGCCATGTCCACACAAAATCTACTTCCTCATTATTATACCACATGCTGGGCAAAGGATTTGACCAGCTCTTCCTATTTCCTTAATTACTCAATATGACTATTTTACATAATTCAAAGAGGGGAGAGTGTGGGGGAAAAGGGTGGAGAAGATAAAAGAAAAGAAAACCACAAACCAGCAAACTTATTAGTATTTTCTTTCTCCATCTTTGGGGAAAGTCTTAGCATAAAAATCCCATTCAGCTCAAAAAGAGCTTTGTACACAAAACTACAAAAAAGGTATTGGTTTGATAATTAGCAATTGTTCAAGTAGGTTAAAAAAATTCCATTTACCTTTCTAGATGTGTTAATACTTTTAATACGTTCCTCATAACATCTTGCTTTCTTCATAAATGTTTTAAAAGGACATCCTCCTCTCCATCACAGGCATAACTAGGTACCAATATATGAACACTTTTATATCAATCCAGGGGCAAGCCAGCAATATGTTATAAGAGAACTGCAAAAAACAGAGCCCTAAAAGTATTTCTACTCCCTGTTCCTGCTTAGAAGACACCAAGTTTCATGTTGGTGACATACATATTTTTGGCAATAGAAACAGATTTGCACAGAACTGAACTTCTGGAATTCATTCTCCACTTTTAACAACTCAGATTTCTCCTTCCCTCTGAAGTTCTTCCTCCATTTTGTAAAACAAGAGGAATACTCGCATATTTTAAGCAAAGGAAAAATGCAACAAGTTTTATTTTTTAAACTCAGATTTTTAAAAAATATGTATTATAATAGGACCCAAAGGCCACCACTAAGGTTTTGCCCCATTTCACAGGGTGTTGGAAAAATAAAAGGCAAGATTGTCACTTAAGTGTTTACAGATAAAGGAGAGGATGACTAATACAAACATATGAGAAAATATGTTTTCAAATAAAACGATACTGCTGCTCGAATATATTCAGACTCTGCAATATATTTTTGGTTTTTTTTACCTCTTTGCAATTAAAACAAGGGGAAGATGAAAAGGTCAGAGCTTGTCTCCTGCCCACCTAGGATCGGTAGGAAGGATTTTGAATGGCAGTGCCAGGTTCTAAGAAAGAACCAGAAAAATAATACTAGAGACAGCCTGGATCTTAACAAGGGATATTTCTCCTTTGCATAATGGAAAACAAAGAAGAAAGCATAGCTTTTAAAGAAGCTCACTGGTAGAGACCAAAATTATGATTTCTGGGATTAGTTCGATTGTCAGGTTAAATTGTGGAGAGCTTAACCTTGTATCTATGCCATATTTGTGCTAGGATATCACCCTCCTCCTGAAAGAGAACCATCCTACTTTAGGATTTATCATAAACCACTGTTGATCTCATTGACCTCTCTCTGCATTAATCCCCATTAATCTGGTTTTACATATGGAAAGTTTTAGTTTTTATTTAGATTTTAGTTCTTATTTAGATGAAATAATTCTCACCTATTTCAGAAGGTTGATACACTTTAAGCCCTTTGGCTCAGCAAATTGTCAAGTAATTAGCTTGTTTTAAGAGAAGTTATAAAATGTTTTGTAGTTCTCTGCATGATATACTTACGGATGGCTCACTGCATTATTTCCACATTGATTCTTAAAAATTCAGTGCAGGTAACAGTTCTGTAAGTTTTCCAAATGCTTCAGTAAGATCCAGGAACATCTACTATAAGCCAAGCAAAAAACCTGCATATGCAGGTGGACGCTGGGCACATATGTGCATGCACACACACTCTCTTTCTGAATGAGTGATACAGCTCTTTTTGTGATGGTTATACTTTTTTGGAATGGTTCTTTAGTTTTCCAATTTTTAAGATAGAATTATTTTCATCCTTTTCAATTTTTTTTTTTTAAATCTTGAACCATTCCGCGTTATATCTTTATTGCAAAAAGTCAACATGCATCTTAGAAATTCCGATTGTAATCAATAAAACAAACATTACATATATGAATTTAAATGTATAAACAGTTAGAAATTCAACAATATCTCCTATTATACTATTACACAAGCTCACAATTTTGTAAAAACTATAGTACAAGTTTACTATACATCAAGAGGAACTAGTATTCCTTTTCACATGATTTTGTTAAAAACCACTGCAATATTTGTCATAAGTGGGCAAGTACTTTCAAACTGATTTTTTTTTCAGTTGTTGGTCTTCTTGTTTTGTGTCAGAGCTTAATTCAATGATGAAAAATAAATATACACCATGGTTTAATTTTTAGTATCTACAGTTGTAATATTTGTCAACTAGGCTTTTGCTTGGTAACATTGTACTTTAAATTCCCCATAAATAGCCTGGTTAACATGTATCTAGTTATGGTAGTGATTATGAATTAAGTGTAAATGTAATGTACTTTTCAAAAGTTCACATTGAAAATAAAACTAAAATAAGTTGCATTCTCAACTACCTACTTAAAAATAAAGGATTCAGTAATATTACCTAGTAAATCCTAAGAATACAACAGAAAGGTTCTCTACACCTTTGAAAAACCAAGGTCACTTTCAAAAGGCTTCCCCATTCCTTAAACACCACGAGTCAGTTACTGCTATGCTGCCCATCACTTAGATGCCCAATAATATAATAGCAGGCTTTCAATACACAATCTAAGTTCACAGTCACAACTCATTTTGTGCTTCAATGCTTAAAAATTGTATTTTGGATGTCACCTGGGGATTTCTGTAAGCCTGCCAATGCGTACTACAAAGAAAAATGTATACACAGCTCTCCAAAGCTCATTAAATAAAGCTTCCACTCTTCCTTTGCCACTTAACTCACGCACCTAGAAAAGCCAACGTATCTGAGCAAGGGCAAAAAATCAAGTCTCTGAACACAGTGTGCCAGTCAGGTGTCATTTTAGAGTTCAAAATCATATGAAAAGGAATCCCACTCTGTTTAATCATGTCAAAGGCTACTGAGTTTTTCTTTTACAGGTTCATTTACTCACTGTAATCTTCAGTTTCCAAATACGAAAATACAACAATTCTTATTGAAATCTATATGCTGGTAGTTTTAGTACACAAAAACAAAATATTTACAAAATTATACAATTTTAAGAAAAACTCTGTACAAAAAAATATATAAATCCTTTGTTCCCTCTATCATTTTGTTAAACTGTCAGGACTCAAACATTTGCTGCAATGGATCTTTCAAAATATACACTGACTGAGTCTAGACATTAAGAAAATATTAGAGGTGATGGGAGAAGAGCAAGGCTTATTCTTCAGGTACATGGTATTAGCATTTTTCCTCACTCCTTCATCAGTTGAATTTCAGCCTCCATATTGGGAGAACAGCAGTTCTGTAGAAAGGGGAGGCCTTAACAATACTGAAGGAAGTGCTCCCTTCAACCCTCACAAACCGAAAGGGATAGTGTTTTGGCTTCCTGTACATACAGCCACAGCAAAACGGATAGTTAAATGATGGGGAACAATACAATCGGCAAATTGAAAACATGCAACCTCAAGTAACTAAGTTCAGAGACCTTTTGATTTAAAAGACTCTAGTATAAAGTTTTTCCCCCTCTCATTCTGGATCAGGAACAGGTTGCGAAATGGCCCAGTGTGCTAGTTAATTTGAAAAGATGAACGCTTACTTGAAAAAAAAATATAATTTTTTGTGTTTGGTATGTGGAGAACAAAAGCCGTTTCCTAACTTAGTGCTGACAAAATAAGTTTATGCTCCTCCACACTGACATTCAGAATGCAAAGGTTTTTTCCCACCCCCCAGGTCTCTCATGTAAGATACCTCAGATGTAGTACACGCAGGTGCACAGACAGAGCTTACAAGATAACGCATTGCTGTTCATGAACAGCACATAACAGAATTATGAAGATCTATGGCTCTTGGACAGTATAAACTCATTATCCCCATTTCTACCACAATACATACCATTTATTTTGGGTGCTTTTTAGTGATATAAAGACAATGGCAACTGAATTTTATGATATTCAGCCTACCTGCTTTTAAACTAAGTTGTGTTTTTAAGACGAATGTATTAGCTTACTTAAAGCAAGTTTTAAACACTATGTTTAAGAATTTCATCACTTAGTGGTTTCATATATACTTCTCAGAGTAGAAGACCTTACATGCCCTAAAACCATAAAATTTACTCTGAACACTGTACAAGTTTGGCTTGAACATTAATAAAAGTGAGATTTGATCACTTGGGGGGGGGGGGGGGGGGGGGGGGAAGG